GCTCAGTAGCCCAGTGTCTTTCAAAAGAAAGTCAAAAGAGAGTGGAGTCTACTGGCCATACCACCGTGAACGCGCCCAATCTCGTCTGATCTCGGAAGGTAAGCAGAGGTCAGGCCTGGTTAGAACTTGGATGGGAGACCGCCTGGGAATACTGGGCTTAAAAAAAAATAGCGTGGAAGCTTAAAACAGCCATGAAATTAGGGGTGCTTTGGGGAGGTGGTTAGGTGAAGCACTCAAGATTGAATTCTGGTTGCTTAATTAAGAGACTCCCTCTTCTTTTCTGCCCCAAGCATGCTTTGCGACTGCCCCCATGTGGCCATGGATGGAACTGTCTTGAGAAAAGCCCCTGGATTTCAAATGAACGGGCAGGGACTGGGGCTCGGGGTGGTCCTATGACCACACCAGCAAAAAGCGACCAGGAACCAACTCACAGACTCTGGTTTCAGTCCTTTCTTGTTTTGTTTTGTTTTTGGTACTAGGGGTTGAACTCACGACCTCACACTTACCAGGTAAGCACTTGAGCCTCTAAGCTAAATCCCTGGCCCTTCAACCCATTTTTTGACTTTTCCGTGTCCTAATTTCTGTCTGCATTGTTTTAGCTCCTTGTAGGAGACCTGATCCTTTATAGAGGCTTCTAAATCCTTAACTGCAGCTTTTTCTCCCACTCTTGGGGAAGGAGAGGAGGACCAGTTTTCTACTGAGGGTCCAAGCCCCACCCTGCTTCTGCTTTCCAGATCTTGCCGTCTTCACGTGAACCCATTCTGATAATGTCTAAAAGAGTTTGTGCAAAGCTGTGTCTCTCATTGTGGAAACATTGTTCGTCACAGACGCAGTTAGTGACAAGGAGATGTGATTCTAGGTATAGATGTGGAGGGGCTGGAGTTTAAACTGGAAACCTTGGAGGCTTGTACAGAACTACCTGGTGAAATCCAGTAGTGTTTTCTGTTTACTGTTGTCTATTTGAAAGAGATGCAAATAAGATCTCTAATGGGACCCCCTTTGGTTTTGTATTCCCATTCCCCATAAAATGTTACAATTAAATCAGGCCTTGTGGTACATGCCTGTAAACCCTGCACTGAGGAAGGCTGAGACAGGAGGATTCCAAGTTTGAGCCCAGCAATTTAGTGAGGAGACATAGCTGAGTGGGAAAGCTCTGGTTCAATCCCCAGTACCACATTACTATTATCAAATGTGCTTTTGTCCTTGAGAGTCTTTGAGTGATCACCCTGCATTGAAAAGCCGTCAGGGTCAAGAGGACTCTTTAGCCTTATGCTCAATTAGTGGTGAGGAAATGGAGATGTGAATTACCCTGACTCCAGCAGTACATGTTGTATACATGTATGGAATATCATATGGTACTGTGTACATGCTATAATTACTATATGGTGATTTTTTTTTTAGTATTTAAGGAGATGGCAATGTTAACTACCCTGATTTGATCATTCTACTCTGTATATATATATATATATATATATATATATGTATATATATATATATCAAGTGATTGCACAGTAACACATAAATTTTTATAATTAAGATAATTTTTAAAACAATTCCCTTGCTTAAAAGTGAGGCATGGCAATGCATGCCTGTAATCCCAGTACTCAAGAGGCTGAGGCAAGAGGGTTACCATGAGTTCAAGGCCAGCCTGAGTTACATAGTGAGTTCAAGGCCAGTCTGTGCTACATAGTGAGACCCTGTCTCAAAAAACAAAACAAGAAGTTCTCTTGTTTGCTGCATAAGTCTACAGGAATGTCTGTTGCCCCATGGGATGGTAGTGTTGGAGGAAAGTGCAATGCGATAGTCAAATAAGAATTTCAAGGCAAACCTCCAAGTATAAAAGTTTTGCTTGAGAGTTATATAAAAGTGAAGGTAGCAATCTAGGACACATACAGAGGCCAGAGGGAACTCTGGACTGTCCAGAGCACAACAGAGAAGATTGGGATTTCACTGGGGAAAAAGAGAGTTACACAAGTTGTTTTTGGGAGCAAGTTCACCGGCACTTTCCAGATATAATTTATCTGAAAGTCTGTCCAGTGTTGGGATGTGGTTTACAAGCTGGGCTGAAGAAATGCCAGAGCCGGGGAAGGTGTCAACCCCTTCCAGACCCCGAGATGCTCAGATCCTGAGTTTTTTTACTTTACAATGGTGCAAAAGTGATGTACTCTGTAGAAACTCTAGTTGGAACTTTGAATATTGTTCCTGTCCTGGCTGGAGATGACATGGCATAGGCCTCTCTCATGTTGCAGAGTGAGGCTGTGTGGTGGGTCAGGTCTAATCCATGTATTTTCCAGTTCAGATATTTTTCATTTTGCCACTGGCTTAGCAAGCCATGCCCCCCAGGTAAGTCGAGGAGCACCTGTGGAAACTTAATCTTGGCTTCGAGGCAGACCCTGCATTGATAGAGGGGGAAAGGGAGGTTTATTGTTTCATTCTTGGATGCTAAACTCTCTAAGGCAGCACTGGTGTTACTGGAGGCCTTGCCACCTGGGCATATAGCAAACGCTCTGCATGGTTGTGGTTATTTAAATAGAATCTGTGAGTGGGTGAAGGAAGAATGGGAGGGTTCTGAGATTTGTAATCAGACCCCAAAACTTTTGTCCCTCAGGACATCTAATATAAGCAGTAAAGTAAATGACTTGTGTAATAGCAAAAATTCACCTGGTTTTAGAACTAATTACAGCAACTCTATTTGCAGTGTCTGTCTTTGGATCAGATTTGTCCTTTGTTATGGTTTATGCCTAGATGTCCCCCCAGAGCCTCATGCACTCATAGGTGGGTATCCTAGGGCTTATCTGCATGGACCTGTCCACTATGACCCTGAAGCCTGCCCCCTTGAGTGAAGCAGGGCAGATGGACCTTACCTGTCCACAGAAGGGCTGAGGAGGGGTTGAAGCAGTCACTGAGGTTAGTTAGGCCAGACGAGCAGGAGCAGGAGGCTGCAGAGTAACTTGCAGGACCAAGCTAATGACTAAGGCCAACAGGAGGCCCAGTGGGAACAGAGCCACCTGGCTCAGTCACTACCTGTGAGAGAGACAGCATCCAGGCTGGGTTCCTGGACTCTGGGAGTTGAGATTGGGTCTGGGGAAGAACCCTGAGAAAGCATGAGGTTGCACGCTTCTGAATGTAATCAAAGTGGCTGAGAAATTCCTGTGAGGGGCTAGAAACCCCCTAGATTAAGAGCTCTGCATCTGAAAATCACAATGAGCTATTAAATGAAACAGGGGTTTGGGGGGGGTACATTTTTGGAACATCTGCTAGTTATACTATAACTAAAATATGAGAACTGTAAAATGTGAGATGTGATTATAAAAAATAGCTTTTGAATTTTTAATAAATTCAACTATGTAAAATTCCAAACATCCATAAAAGTTAGGAATACAAAACTTAGGAACTCCAGCCAGCTTCAGTTGGGAATTCAAAAGAAAAAATCCCTAAATTAGGACCATTTGATGGAAGTTTAAATTTATAGTGAAGGTAAAGGGAACCCAAGAGGAATACAGCAGTCCCAGGACAGCAGCAAGGGTCTGTCACCTCCCTGAGACTAGCTCGAGAGTGGCTATTGAGACCCTGGCAGAGTGCGGGTAGAGAGCAACACCCCAAGGGCCTCTGTGACCATTGGTCAACTTGGCAGAACAGGGGGACACAACCAGCCCACCTCCTCCCTCTGTCCACTGCCTGTGAGGAAGCCAGAGAGTATGGGAGCGACAGATGTTGTCCACATGGATGGGTCTCTTGGGCCCTGACCAGGGAAGGGAGGACCAATGGACATGTCCAGCAGGCATAATCCCATCTGGCAGCTCTCAGCGGCAAAGAGCATGTCAATTCTCTATGATTGCATAACAAAGTACTACAAATTTATCAGCTTAAAACAACCACCACTTATTGTCTCGCATTTCTGTGGGTCAGAACCTTAGCCTGGCCTGGCTCCCTGGGTCCTCCAGTGAGTCAGTCTCGCAGGGCTGCAGGTCTTGAGAGAGGTCTCAGAGGAAAGAATCTGCTTACAAATCCCTCTGGCTTGTGGTAGAACCCAATTTCTGGCAGTTGTAGGACGGAGACTCCCAGGGCTGTCGGTCAGGAGTTGTTCTCAGTATGCTGAAGTCAGCTTGCACCTTGGTTCATGACTCCCTGCAAGACCACCCTCATCTTACCTGCTTTCTGTTTGTGCCCATCTCTGACTTTTCCCTCCCTCGTCTGCTCCTAAGGTCCACCTAAGGTCAGCACATTAGTAATTTTAATTCCATCTACAAGCTCCTTTCATAGCAGAATCTAAATTAGAGCCTTGAGATCTTTAGAATTCACCCCGTAACAAGGGTAAGCATTTTGCTAACCTTAGGTAACTACAGTTTGTATTTTGCAGTTAAAAAATGTAAACCCAACCAGTTTTATTGAGATATATCTCACGTGCCATCCAGTTTACTCAGTTAAAGTATACACAGAGTGGTTTTCAGTATACTTGTAAAAAAATGGTAGAATGTAACATGGGATTTGTCCTTTTAGCCATTTTAAGTGCCCAATTCATTGGCATTGATTATACTGTGTTATGCAATCATCACTATTTTCAAAACCTTTTCTTTGCCCTCCAAAAACACTCTGTAACCTAAGCAGTAACTCCATTCTTCCCTTCCTTCAACCCCTGGTAACCTCTAATCTACTTTTACTGTTTATGGGTTATCCCCTATGTAAGTGGGATCATACTATTTATTCCTTTGTGTCTGATTCATTTTGTACAACATAACTTTTTTTTTTTTTTTTGGTCTTTTTGAGACAAGGTCTTGCTGTGCAGTTCAGGCTGGCTTCAGGCTCACTCTGTAGCCCAGGCTGGTCTTGAACCTGCTATGATCCTCCTGCCTCAGCCTCCCGAGTCCTGGGATTACAGGAGTGTGCCACCACGCCTGGCTTAACATACACTCATTCATGTTGTAACATGTGTCAGAATTCCATTCCATTTTATAACTAAATTGTATGTGTAACCCCTATTTTGTTTATCCTGATGGACACAGGTGGTTCCTACCCTTTGCTATGGTAAATTGTGCTGCAATGAACATTGGGTTCCAAGTGTCTGGCCAAGCTCCTCCTTTCATTCCTTCAGCTGTGCATCTAGGAGAGGGACCTCCAGATCACACGGTAAGTGTATATTCAATTTTCTGAGGCTCCAAATTGTCCTCCACAGTCTGTGCCATTCTACATTCCAGTCAGCAACGCATAGTTCAAATTTTTCCACTTCAGCATGTTTTTCTGTATAGTAGCATTCCTATGGGTATGAAGCAGTATCAAATTTGGTTTTGATTTGCAATTCCTTCATAACTAATGACACAAAACTTTGTTGCTGGTGTTGGGAATCAACTCAGGGCTTCACATATGCTACACAGATGCTCTGCCCAAGCTGCAGCCCCACCTTGGAGCATCTTTTCATGTTTATTGTCAATTCTGTATCATCTTTGTAGAAAGATTCAAATCCATTATTCACTTTGGATTGTTCTCCAGTTGTTGAGTTGTAGTTCTTTACACTTCATGTTAATCTAAGATATATACTTGCACATATTTTTTCCCTTTCCAGTGATTTTCACTCTTAATAGTGTCTTTTGATGCACAAACATTTTAAATTATTAAGTCTAATTTACCTCTTTTCCTCTTCTTTGTGCTTTTAATATCACATCCAAGAAATTGTGGACAAATCTGGCGTCAGGAAGGTTTCTCCTATGTGCCAGCCCCTCAAGGATGACAAGCAACAACCGGTAACCAGAGCCCAGAATTTCAAGGTTTTCAGAGAACAGAAGCCTGTTGCCTAGCCTGGCTCCAGCAAAGAACGGCAGGAACTTGGGCTGCTGTCCCCATGGTTGCTGCCTTTCGGGCTGGGGGCTGATAAACACAAACAAACCAGAGCTGAAACGAACCGAACTGGACCAGCCTCCTCCAAGCTGTCTCCTAGGCACTGGGCATGCATTGCCACATACAGAAGCCCGGAAATCCCGCCACAGTCCTACCCATCCAGTCGCTGTTCTGATGCAGGCATGGATTGCCGGAGCTTTCTATTCCACCATCTTTTGGCCGCATGTCATCTTGAGGTCACTAGGTTTTATGGATGGTATAAAATACTGGAAAATTTAAGTCCCAGTACAAGTTGCCCCTTTCAGACAACTTACAATGAGCCCTCAAGTCCTGCCTCCCTGCTCTGTGGCACCTGAGCTCTGAGCCCCTCACTTGAGATCCCGAGCCACTATCAAGTCAGAGGCCATTTTCACCCCACTGAGGGACACGTGGTGGCACAATCTCAAAACAGACTGGGTTCTCACTCCACGACTGCCCTTCCTTCTCCTGCAGGTAAAGAGGGCAATCGCGGCTCACTGTGAAGCTGAGTAAGGAGCCTTTTTCTATTCCCTGCAGCTAGAACACCTTTCCTAAAAAGTGAGAACAATGTCCAAAAGGGTGATTTGGGACTTATGATGTGATTACTGTTTAAGTCAACAACAAGTCCCTGAGCTTTTTCTAGACTGGGGGGGAAACATCCAAGTCCTCTGACACTCTGACACGGTAAGTCTTGGGGCTCCATCGTGAACTCACTTCCTAACATGACAGCTCTTCATTCAAAACAGACAGGGAGACTGTCTTTTTAAACAAAACATTTTTTAATATTCTTCACTAATATTTGTACAGCTGTAAACTCAAGGAATTGTTCAATACTTGTGTACATTTTAGGGAATAGTTAATAAGCACCTTCAGTGGTTTCCACAGTTTAAAACTTACCATTTAAGACTTTAGAATGAATCTAGTGAAATGAGGAAAACAGGCATAAACACTAACATCATGTTGAACACTTGATATGCGGGGCTTGATACAGGATGATAAATACAAAAAAGAAAGACTAAGGTGTGGGGCTGGCCTTGTGTAAGACCCACGTTTCCCCAAGCCTGGGATTCTTGGGGATACAGTTGCCTCTCAGAATACTCCAATTACGTAAGGAAAGATATTCAATTGGGGTTCCCAGGCCCCAGAAGCAGGTCAGGCAAAGGCAGGAGGGAAGGGGCAGGGACAAAGTGCTGGGGCTTGAAGCAAATAGGTGGGGAGAACAAATCCTTCCATGTGCTTAGGACAAGTGATCTTTGGCAGAAATGTACCAGTTCCTCTTTGGTGTTGTGCATTTTCATATTGGTGTTCTTAAGCCCCTCCTCGGCCCCTTTTCTTGGCGTTTCCATTCCTGCCTTTGGTCAGTCTCTTCTGAAGCTCTCTACCCATGGTCTCCACCCCTCTCACCCCATGCTGTCCTGGCCCAAGCTCCTTATGCTTCCAATCCACAATCTCTGTTATCTCAGGCCCCTGGGAAGCAGCTGGAAGAGATAACACCAGCTACTCACATGGTCAGGAAATGTTTAGGAAACCAATGTTGAAACATAAATATGAAATGCAGCAGTCGTCCCCTTGCATTAGGCAATGTACAAGTAAGGGTCTGAGCCATTACTATAAACACTCAAGCAGATCTTCCCGAACTGTGCCTTCAGATGAAAACAGAGCCAGCAGGGGCCACCGAGGGAGGTAGACATGAAAGGCCAGGTCCTGACTGAGGGCAAAGCAATACCCAGGGTGGGGGCTGCAGGTGAGGGGCCAGATGGACCACAGCCTGTGACCTGCCCCAGCCCGTGCCACATCTGGGTCTCCACGAGAATGGGCACTGGTACCAGCAGCAGGGCTGGAGACCAGCACAGCACCACAGGCAAATGCTGAGACGCAGGTGCTTCTGGTAAAGAAGGATAATGGGTCATCTCTGGTATCATTTAAGGCACATCAAGATAACTCTCATAGTCTCAAACATCTCTACATCTTACAATTTCTTCCCCAGGATGCTTCTTTGACAGAAGCCTCTGACTACCAAAAGTCACTGCTGAACAGCCAGAATTTCACCTGGAAGGGCAGCTCCTTATCGTCTACCAGCTTCCAAACCGCCCTGGAAGTGGGTGGGTTCTGGTCAAAGGCAGAGCACGCTCACCGAATCATGGCTTGGGCAGGATGAAGATGGTGAGGAGCTGGGAAGTGGAAAGGTGGGGAATTAAGAGCACCAAGAGAAAAGGAGTGGCAGGGTCAGCTCCCTCCTTCACATCCTTGTCCAGGCAGGCCCCGGCTGGCGTACTGAGGAGCTGGCAGGTGTCTCAGAGCGTAGGCCGCTCACCTCTGGGGACTAGGACCAGGAAAAGGTCCTAAGACATGGGACGGGGCACACTGTTTTCACCTGGGGCTCTGTAAGCTTGTCTGAAAAATGAGGTCAGGGTGGGAGATTCAACCCCTGAATCGGGGCACAGACCTCACTACAGAAACCCTGGGCATGCTTTGGGGAACAGTGTGAGAAAAGTTGTTTGGGCTCAGGCTAGTTCTGAGCCTAATGATCCCTCAGCTGGAAGACAGGTGTCCGTCTGGACCAAGCAGTATCAAGTCGGGCACTGCTGTGAAATACTCGGAGAGGGAAGGAGGCACTCCTGTCTTCAGTTCTGCTCCACACAGTCGACTCCCAGGGTGTTGTCAGGGCAGCGGCAGGTCCTGCTCCCTGGGGTGGCCAGGCAGAGGTGGGTGCAGCCGCCATTGTTCACAGAGCAGTAGTTGTGACCTGGAAAAGGCAGATGTCAGTCCACAGCCTCCTCTCTCCTAACGCAATTAGCTGACTGGAATGCAGCCTCCTGATTAGCCCTATTTTTGGGGTTTGCCAGAGACCACACTCATGAATGCTCCAGGGGAGGAGAGGGGGCTGTGCTGGCAGTCGGCCAAGCTGAGCTACTGGTTTCCTCCTCATTAAACCAGGCAGGCAGAGACTGGCTCCTGAGCAGGGCCATACAGATTCACCTACACAGACTGTGGGGAGGACTCCCCAATCAACCCGAAGCTGGGACTCCGTCTAGCTCATCAGCTGGGGTTCACACTGCCTGTAGGGAGGACGGACCATGAGGCTCAGAGAGAGGCCTTCAAGAGGAACACAGCACAGACAAGGATCCACCCGCTGCTTCGCCACTGTGAATGCGCAACTTTGATCAAGTGGTTTCTGTTTCTCTTGTATAAAATGGGAATCACAATAGCATCAAACCCACAGGGTCACTATGAAAACCAAGCAATATATACAAAGTGCATACAACTTTAGTGAGCTAGTGTCTGCAAAGAACCAGACTCAGATAAGCATCTTAGATAGATTTCACTTCTTATTAAGCATTGCTATTGCTGTTAAACCACACAGAGGAACAGTCAAAGCAGCCAAAATGCTATGCTAACATGAGGGCCTATTAGGGACCTGACGACCCAGCCAGGGGTTAGGACTTTCCTCACCGTGTCTACTTTATATATTTATGGATCTGGCTCACTGCTTGTGGGAGTTAGAATGGAGTTTCAACTTGATTAGCTAGGAATCTACCCTGGAGACTGGGGGAACACACTTCTAGGTGTGTCTGGTGGGTCATGGAGGCCCAGTCTTGGGGTGCCTGTCTCATCCCTCACTGCTTCCCACCTGGCACACTTCTACTCTGTTTCCTGGGTACCATGAGCCCTTCCACCACAGTGTCTCTAGTTCAGAGCTAGCTGACTGTGGACTGAACTGGTGAACCACATTAAACATCTCCCACTTAATTTATGGGTGTCAGGTGTTGTGACCAGCAATGGGAACGCTAACTAAAACATCACTCCAAAGTGGAGGCTGGAAGGGAACCTATCTCTCATCATGTGATCCAGCCTACCAACAGCTAGCACGTGGGCTCTGAACCTCATGATCTCCAGATCCCCAAGAGTGGCAGCATAGATGGTTTACCTTGGGGACACTGTGCCAGGGTGGTGGTGATGCCATACGGCCGGCTCTGCTTGTGGGGGTGAAACGTGTCTGTCACACTAGAAATCGTGAGATCAATGGCAACCACGGAGTTCCTGCAAAACATCAGAGGGCAGAACACTTCTCAACTGGACAGCCTCCTTCGTAGCTTGGAGGCCATAAACAGACAGGGTGATCTTGCTCCCTGGAACCCCTCTCTCCTCCTAAGGAGTGGCAGGTGGTCTGAGTGTGGGGCTGTCAAGCATGCAGCTCTTTCTTAAAGATGGGCAGAAATTAGCAAGCTCTAAATTCCAAGAGGGACATGGTTTCTGTACAGACAGCCCTAGTCAGCTACCTCCTCAGCTTATGCCTCCTTCTGTGAAAAAATGTGGTTAATTACAGGTTAAGAATTGTAATTAAACAGGGTGTGGTGGTACATGTTTGAAATCCAAGCATCCTGGAATGCTGAGGCAGGAGGATTTCAAATTCTAGTCCAGCCTGGGCAATTTAGTGAGATCCTGTCTCATAATAGATAAAACAGGACTGAGAACGTAGCTCAGGGCAAAAGCCCTGGGTTTAATCTCCAGTACTGAAGAGGAGGAGGAGGAAGAGGAAGATGTGGCTGTGGCAATGGCAGAGGCATGCAACCCGCCAGCCAAGTGACCCTGGGCCAGCTCCTGGGGAAGGAACAGAGAAGCTCTCAGAAGGCCCCAGCATGTAGTCTGGAAACTGCCTGGGAGCGTACAGACGAAGAATGACGCCTGCTCGCTCAGAGTCTTGCCCTCCCTCCTTCTTAACCCTCATCTCCGACCCCTGAAAAGAGGGGCCAGGGGCATCTTTGAAGGCTCAAAGGTCTTGACAGGAGTCAGAAGCAAGGGGCCCGGCCTCCCGGAGTCCCAGGGCAAGGCAGCAGCCCACGTACCCCTTCCAGTCTGTATAATACAGATTCTTCCCAAAGCTCGTCACTGCAAAAGGGTACTCAAGTCCCGGGAGGACCTTGCGTCTGCTGGGCTGACTCGGGTTCAGGCATTCGGCCCGATGGGTGCCTGTGTGAGGAAAAACAAGCTGTTCATTGTTCATGCAAGAAACGGGCCCTTTGTGTCCCGACTGTGGGTGAAGAGGCCAAGAGTGGGAGAAATTCAGCGCTGTAGCCACAGATCCTGGAGGACTCAGGGCTCGCTTTAGGACATGGGCGCACTGCCCCTTCTGGTATTCTTGCTTCTTTCGTCTGTGTCCAGGCGCCCACACTGGGTCCTAGAAGGAGATGTAAGCCAGGGTGCCCTGCCCCTGCCAGCCTCGGCCTCCATCTCAGAGGAGGGGCTGCGCCATCTCCAGCTCTTGCTCTGCTAAGAATCTTGGGACCCCGACTCCCTCTGGTCAGAGCAATTACAAAGGTGGTGCCTGCTGAGCGCTTTCTTTCCCTTTCATTATCTCAGCATCTATTGGACCTTATTATTCTTTCAGTTTTTTTTTTTAATTGGTACCAGGCATCGAACTCAATACTGCCTGCTTGGAAGGGAGGTGTTTATGCCTCTGAGCTAAATCCCCAGCTCCCTCTTTCAGTTTTTTTTTAATACTAGGGAGACAATACAATATTTACAAATGTGAGCTTGATTTATTTCACCTGAGGATGGTCTCAAGTTGCCTCCATTTACCTATAAAAGCCTCAAGATCATCCTTCTTTATAGCTGAGTAATATTCTATTGTATAAAAATACATCTTTTTATACATTTTGTGGTTGATGGGCATTTTTATGCACACACACACACACACACACACACACACACACACACACACACAAAGATAACCATACAGAACAGTTTGTGCTTTCAATGTTTGATCATTTTTTATGTCTAAATCTTGTAACCTGAACAACTACTTCTAATATAACAATATGCAATATACTAACTAGTGTTAATTTCCTATTTTTTTTAAAATTCTGTACCATTTCTATCTGTCTTCTATCTGTATTCTATCTATATATCTACCTTTTATCTGTCTTGCTTTAAAAAAAAAAAAAAAAAAAAGAAGAAGAATCTGTGCCACCTTAATGACCGTCCTGAAGCTTGTGTGGTCATTTACATGGTGTGATAAAAAAAAGAGTGAGTATTTAAATTTTTTTTATTTTTGTCTTTTTCCTTTTTATTGGTACCGGGGATCGAACTCATGACTGCCTGCTTGCAAGGCAGGCGCTTATGCTGCTGAGCTAAATCCCCAGCCCAATATTTAAATTTTTAAAAATGTAGTATAGTAAAAGCCTTTAATTCCCTTCAGAATATTCCCCCTCACTTCCGACACATTCATCTCATCATTCTTGGCTCTTTCTGAGGCAGTTCTGCAAGTCCCCTTCTGTGAGTGTTCTTAATCGTGCTGTTGTGGCTGCCTATCCCAAACTGATTCAAAACACTGACCTTTTAGCAAATAAATATATGAAAAGTGTTCAACATCAATGGTCATTCAAGAGATGCGAATTAAAACAACACTAAGATTCCATCTCACTCCAGAAAGGATGACTATTATCAAGAAACCAACTAATAACAAATGCTGGCGAGGATGTGGGGAGAAAGGAACCCTGCTCCAGTGTTGGTGGGAATGCAGACAGGAGCACCACTGTGGAAATCAGTGTGGAGATTCCTCAAAAAACTAGGATGAGAGGTCCCATTTGGCCCAGGCGTTCCCCTCTTGGGTATCTTCCCAAAACAATTAAAAGCATCATAGCACAGTGACATATGCACACCTATGCTTATAGCAGCACAGTTTGTAATAGCCAAATCTCAGAAACAATCCAACTGCCCATCAACTGGTGAATGAACAAAGATGTGGGTTTCTTTTCTGCAGTCAAATACTGCTCTGCCATAAAGGATACACGAGACATTACCATACTCTTGAGATAAGTCAGACACAAGCGTGAGTACCACATTGTTTCTCTGGAGTGAAAAACCAAGAGTGTAAACAAGGACCAAAATGTATTTTGAAACAGGAGGAAAATATTCAAATAGAGAGGGGAACAAAATGAGAAAAGAAGGAAAACATGGAAACAAAACTTTGTAAATGGGAAAGGGAGGCAGGTTCAGGGAAGGCAGGGGAAGGGGGCAAAACATTACATCATGTACAGGCACAAATTCTCTTTCATGAATGTGATCATTATGTATATCTGAAATGCACTAGTAAAATCTAATTAAAAAAGAAAAAAAACACTGACCTTTTCGTGGTCATTTTGACTTTGGGGAAAGTGCCAGATCAGGGTGGCAGATTCTCGAGGAAGGTGGATGAAGACACGCTGTGATGTTTTTATGAACCTGCTTTTTCACTGGATGACACTCAGCGGCAGCATTCGCCACTTTTTTTTTTTTTTTTAAGGTACCAGGAATCAAACTCAGGACCTCACGCTTGCCAGGCAGGCATTGAGCCCTATCCCTGGCCCTCACCATACTTTTTATCATACAGACACTTGTGAAAGAAGACCTCCAGAGCTGCTTTAGGAATCGGCAAAAAATAGCGTGCAAACCAAGAGGGAGTGGCCTATTTCAATTAATGGCAATCTTTCTTTCACTGTAATTGATTTTTAAATTTCAACATTCACCGTTTATTTTGATCACCCCTTGTCAGTGCTTGTGCCCTACTTATCCTAACTGGACAGGGACGCAGTCCTACCGCTCCACATCCTGACATCTGACACACAGCTTGAGAACGCAGCAGAGACTTCTGCAGAGAGGGACAATGGATGCTCTCCCTCCATGCCACGCCTGAGGGGCACCGGTACCTCGCAAGGAGGGCACATGCCAAGGACCACACATGGTGTAACTCCCGAGACTCAAAGTCCTGCTGAAGCCATGTGGATTAAAGGGAGCTCTGAAAGTGCTTGACCCATGCAGCAGCCTGCAGGCCCCCTGTGGTGCCACTTAGAATAGGGGACAGCCAAACTCTTTAGCAGGGCCAAACAGTAATTATGCTAGGTTCTTTGGGCAAAACCAAACATAGTACCAAGGTATTGATACAACCTCTTAAAATGTAGTATTTCACACTGTAAAAACTGGTCAGAGCATCTGGGTTACACAAAAACAGGTAGCAGGTTGGACTTGGCCTGAGAGTCACAGTTTGCCAACTCCTGACGGAGAAGCCTCCCTGGATAGTCAAGCTTCGCATCACCTGCATCCACCCAGCAAAGCTGTGATGAGAACGGGTCGAAGGTCAGGCCATTGGGCAAGACCAGCTCATCCTGTGCAAGAATCCTGCGGTTCGTGCCATCCATGTAGGAGGTTTCAATTTTGGGGTTATCTCTGTTCCAGTCTGTCCAGTAAAGGTTCCTGGAGGAGGAAAAGAAAGATGAAGGGGAAGAGCAATGCTAAATATGAATGAGAGAAAAGATTATGAGAAACATTTTAAAAGAACCTACAACAAACAGACTAGCAGACAGGAACACACAGAGGAGTTGAACAAATGGGTTCTTTTCCAAAGACATTTAGATTTGGTTCCTCATCTGAATTTGGTTATTCTGTTACTAACACATTCAGCTCCTTAACATAACAAGCTATCAACAAAATGTCATAAATGACATAAATGCAAGTTAATTCTCCATATGCCACCACCATACAGACCCAGGGGACCAGAAGGCGGGCTGCAGACACTGGGAGAGGCGATGGCCAAAGCTCTATTATCCAAGAGGTGGCTGAGTAGCCGTAGCACAAGGAATGTGCTCCCAAAGTGGGTCAGAATGTTGGGGGCGCAAGACTGCACGAGGGGGAAAGAGTGGAAGCAGCATTGTGCTGAGGAGACCTGCAGGGGCCTCCAGATGGTCAAGCTCCAGAAAGCAGTCCAGGGGAGCATGAGGTTCACGACCACTTGACGGTAGATCCACATCGAACTCGTGGAGAAAATGCCCAGTTTTGGAGCTGTCAACTTACAAAGTCTCTTGGCAAGAGATTTTTAAATGGAGCACGGTCTGAAGTCTGCATCATAATAAATGTGCTGGCTTTCCGCCAGCTTGCAGGATCCCTGTGAGTCACCGACCACAGACCCCTTCATCCCAGACCCATTCATCTCAGGACAGCAACGCTGGCGTTAGAGCCTCACATTTAAGAATATCCAGCAGAGCCAGATGCAAATGTAACAACAGACACACAAATACCCTCTCACGGGATCCGTTACGATGCTCCTGGGGTTCACCAAATCAGTATCAAACAGCACTCGGCGCTGCGTGCCGTCCAGCTTGGCAACTTCTATTCGATCCAAGTGAGAATCCGTCCAGAACATGTTGCGACCAAGATGGTCAATGGCAATGCCTTCCGGGCTCCCCAGACCTAGAGCCGGACACAAAGCAGGTGAGCTTTTCCTTTCTTTTCCTCTCTCTCTCTCTCTCTCTCTCTCTCTCTCTCTCTCTCTCTCTTCCTTCTGCCCTCCCTCTCTCCTTTGGCCTTCCTTCCATTCTGTGATGCTGGGGTCAGAACCCAGGGCTTTGTCCCCTGAGCTGCATGCCCCCCTAAAACTAGATTTTGCTAATCACCCAGTGCTATTTATTTCACAGGGTATCGAACTCTTACACTTTGAAAAACTAAGTGGGAATGTATGAAATGAGTGCTGTTTATAATATATCAACTCTCAAAGTGACAAACTAAAATCACATGTGGTGGTGGGAGCAGGGCCAGCACAGGCACTGAGAACTCAGCGCACAGCCTACCACAAATCAGACCGAATTCCAGGTTCCAGGGGATCCTCGAGGAGGGATCCAGCCTGCAGAAGTCAGAGAAGATTTCCTGGGAGTGGGGAAAGGCACCTCCAAAGCTGGCTCCTGAAGGACCCCCAAGAGTTTCTCAGGCAAAGATCCTGGATGAGAGTTTTGGGGAGCAAGGCCAGCACATGGGTACAAAGGAAGATGGGAAGCGGACTGAAGGGAACTGTAACTTTCTACAGCTGGAAAACATGAGCCAGAGACAGAGTGAGGATGCTGGGCATAGTGGTGGACGTCTGTAATCCCAGTACACTAGAGGATGAGACAAGGGGATTGCAAGATTCAGCCCAGCCTGGGCAACTTAGTGAGGCTCTAAAAACAGAAAGGGCAACGGATGTAACTCACTGAGAAGGCCCAAAGTCCAATTTTCTCAGTATTAGGGGGCGGGGGAAGAATTTAGGTTTTATTACACAGGTAAAGGAAAAGGTCTTTAGATGGAGATGGACCAGTAAGTCTTCCTTTTGCATTAATTATGGGGCAATAATACTTTGAAGAAATGTAAGTATAAGGGGTAAAAGTGGTACCACTGATTACAAATGACCCCCACTGCCCCGCAGTGCTCACTGGGCTTTAACAATGGTGTTCAGGCCAGTGCTGGCACCAAGTACCAGACTCTGCAGTGTGAGCACTCAGCATGCATCTAGCTTTATCTGAAGTTCAAGATTTCAAGTTTTTTGGCTATAAATTTAAGAAATTATAGTGACATTGTGCAACTATTAGTATCACTTAGGATTCTTCCCTGCACCGAGCAGGGACAGGAAGCCTCATAGCATAGCTGGAGGGGAGCAGGCAGGAAGAGGCTGCCCTAACTGAGGGCCTGGGGTTTTCTTGTCTGTGCACAGTGAGTCTAGCACTCAGCCCTCTTGGTACATCAGCTGTCCCTGGACCCCGGCATGTCAAAACCTCTGGTACTAGAAGTAAAATGATAAACTAGAAACTACACTTGAACAATGTCTATTACTGAAACCCTAAGTGCTTTGAAAAGCATATCATAATCTTTCCCATGTCCCTAGAGCCCCAAGGACTGTAAGACTGACCTCCAGATGTGCCTTCTGGCTTTCAGAAAGAACCTGAGTAATCCATTCGGGGGAATGCTTGGAATGAGCACATCTGGTAAGAGATGGGAACCACATGGGCACACAGAGCTCAGGGAAAGGCTGCCCGAGGCAGCCTTGACACAGTACCTGGAGGCACCCCGCAGGAGCTCCGTGTCACCACATTTCCTCTAACACAGTCCCAGTCCTGACTCGAAACCCAGAAGTCACCAAGGCCCTGCACACCCAACCAGGAAAACACTATGCTTCCAAAGAAGAGCCTAAACCTCGCTCCTTACTGTGCAGAGAACAGGGTGGATGGCATGGTGGTGTTTTATTCTGTACCGCCCTGTGAAAAGGAAATTGATTATGAAACTCACTAAAGATATTGGTTAGGATTTCAATGCCTAAAGAGAAAGAGAAGCTCTGAATTCTGAGTATATGAAACCAGGAGGAAAAGGGAAAGGTGCCCACAGCACCTAACTCCCCAGCAAAGCACCGGCCTGAGCCCTGCTAGGGAGATACAGTACCTGAAAGGCATCCCCCACCCCCACCACTGTCTCTGTCTCTGCCTGGTGATTTTCATCTACAAAGACTATGTTTTGATTGAATTCTGTGTCTTTAAAGTAAGCAGGCTTTTCTTGGAAGGTTTTTCCTGTGTTTAAAACATTTTTGGATGATTATCAGTTCCAGAGGCAACAGGAAATAGTGAATGATGACCTACTCCCTCCTTCTGCTAGGCTTTCAAATGGAATTGGAGATAATAGCATTTTCAACAGAGATAAGAGGCACAAAGGCATTTTTGAACTTCTGTTCAGTAAGCCAAAAAGCTCCTAACGACCAGCAGACATCATTTAAATGTCCTATCTGTTTCCAGAAAAAGATTCAGGGTTTAAATGCAAAACCAGAGAGACTTAATCCAGCCTGGGGTCAGTTCCCACTGCAGCAGGTCCCGGAAGGGGGCGAAGGGAGGCGAAGTGCCTCTGGGGATCCTTCAGCACTAAGACCCTTGCAGGGCACCTACTGCTACAGAAATACTAACCCAGAAAAGGCAAAGTCTCAAGTGAAAAGGTACACAAAATGAAGTTTATATATTTTAAGGATAAATCTCTGGTTTGAAAATTTTACAGACAAAGCAAGAAGATGTTATATATAAGTATCAGCATGACAAATCTGAGCAAAAAACATTCCCAGGATGAGTCATGACTTAAGCAACGTGTAATTCTTGACAGCACAGGAAGACTTTTACAGGGCCTAGGATTTTTGCTACAGTGGCCTTTGATCTAGATAAAACATTCCCATATAAAATGGTCTTGATGTATTGAGTATGGGCCTTAAAATACTGCAGAGTCCTGGGCGCATACTGGCTTCCTTTGGCTGAGACAATCTAAGCAATTAGAGAGGTAGAGAAGAAAAGTTACCCCTAGCCCCGCGATGCTACAGGGTGAAATGGCAACTCTTTAACTCCACAGCTGTCCTGAGAATAGACAACCCTCAAGGTCAGTGTTTGTCAAGACTTGTGACCTTCCTGCCTTGTGATTCATCTGCCTGTCCCCTTTGAGAAGATCTTCCTGAATTACATGGCAGAGTGGCCCCACCAGGTTCCGTAGCCAAGAGAGACATACACATAAACCTAGACAGTGAGTTTGACCTTCATGGCTCGTGAAAACTGGCTACAGGTGCTTTCTGGGAAAGGCATGGCACTTGTCCTGTTTTGATTTTATTCTCCTGAGCTAGCAACAAACCTCAGTGACAGTGTCCCTGGGTTAATGGTGGGTCCTTGAGGGACGTTTCAGAGGCGATGGAAACGTGTGCTTTGGGACAGAAGCCCAGCCTCCAGCAAAGCACCACACCTGGCAAGCAGCCATTGCACTTTCCACCCCCCACCTCCTACATGAGCTGCTACAAACAGGACCAACGAGCGAGGGGTGGCATCTGCCTGCCTACCCTGCTGGACGAGGATGGCCGGCTCTCCACCATGCAGGCTAGCTCTCCCGATGCAAGGCTCCGTGATGTCCGTCCAGTAAACCATCTTGTCTACACAGTCATAGGCCAACCCAATGATGATCTTCTCCTACAAGTGAGGGGCAGGGTGAGGCTTTGAATGAAGTACATTTAAGTCCATTATCTATTTCAAATCTTGCGTCATTGAACTACAGCTTTTTATATATTTCATGTAACACTTTCCCCACAGACACAGGCATATATACATGCAGGAATGTGTGCATATTTCCTATCACCTGTAGCTTGGCTTTTCTTAACTGTGCTAGTTTTGAAGAGCAAAACTTTAAAATAGTTATTGTTTAATTTATTATTTTTCTTTTATGACTAATGTTTTTTATCTACCACCTAAGGAATCTCCCTACCTGAAGGTTGTAAATAAAAGGCAAAATATTGGAGGGGAAGAAGTACAACCTTGATACAAAAGTAATGCATGTTTATGGAGGAAGTACTGCGGAATCTATGCAAGTGTAACTGAATTGAGCAAGGGTACCGAATATAAGGTCAATATAAACCTGTACTAGCAAAAAATAGAAAATGAGCTTTAAAAATGTTTACACTGGTCTCGAAAAACTCATAAAATATTAAGAATAAACATTTTTAAATGTGCAAGATTCCATACCAAACACTACAAAACACTGCAGAGTAAAAAAAAAAAATTTTTTTTTTGTTGGTACTAAGGATTGAACTCATGACCTCAGACAGGCACTTACGCTGCTGAGCTAAATCCCTGGCCCTGCAGAGTAAAATTATAAAAATGAATAGAGGTATATTAATTTGGTGGATTGTGAGATTTAATGTTGCTAAGATTATCTATCAGTTCTCCCTTAGTAGAGTTAGATTCAGTGCCATTTTATCGAAGTCCCAGCAAGCTTCCTCTTTTTATTTGTAGAAACTCACAAGCCTATTCTAAAATATTATACAAAAATGTGATAACATCTAAAATAATCAAAGCATTTCCAAAAAGAAACCAATCTGGAAGGCTCCCTCTCCATGATTTCAAGATTTAGTAAGTATATCAAGGCAGCGTGGAGCTGATGTGCAGTTTGGCAGAGAAATGAACACAATAGAACAGATCTTAGAAACAGATCCTCAGTCATGTAGTAAACCAACGAGCCAGGGAGAAGTCATTTTTTTCAACAAATGATGCTGTGACATTTGGATTAACATGTAAGTAAAAGACTCTTTGTCTCCCGTGGGAGCACGTGCTTGTAACCCCTGCATTCCGGGAGACTGAGGCAGGAGGATTGACAGTCTGAGCCCAGCCTGGGTAATTTAGCAAGACCCTGTGTCAGAATAAAAACTAAAAAGGACTGGGGTGGCAGATGCCCTAGGTTCAAACCTCAGCACCGCAACCCCAACACAGAAAGACTCTCAACCTGACTTCTCACCATACGCAAACATTAAAAGCTGAAACTGGCCAGGCATGGTGGTGTACGCTTGTAATCCCAGCACTCAGGAGGCTGAGGCAAGAGGACTGTTGCGGGTTCGAGACCAGCCTGGGCTACAAAGTGAGCTCAGGGCCAGCCTGAACTGCATAGCGAGACTGTCTCAAAAAGACAAAATAAACAAATAAATAGTAAAAAATAAATGCTGAAATTATATGGCTCCTAGAAGAAATGATAAGAAAAGATCCTCATAGTCTTCTAAATAAGTTTATCTACCAGGCTAAACCTGTAATAACAGACAGGGCACTCCAGACTGCAAAACTGTGCTTCTAAGTTCACTATACTGCATTATCAATATACATGTGTTATAAGTTTAGGTATAATTATCTATTAAATTTATATTACAAACTTACATTCCATCACAGTGTGTATGTCATGTCGATAGGTATTAATCGTCTGGGTAGCCTCTACACTGGGCAGGCACAGCATCCCCAATCACCAAGACCAAGGGCCCAGGCCACGTGTGCTGCCTCTCTCACTGCAACCCATGGTCATCATCTTCTCTAACTCCCATCTTAATAAAGACCATTTCCTGTGGGAAACATACCCAAGAGCCTCTACTCACTGATTCTTAGCAAAGTGAAGAAAAAAGGATCAGGGGAAGTAAAGGTGAGGAACTCTTTTGAGTTTAACAAAAATCAACTGGGCTACACTCACAGTTGAAGAGACGCTGAGCAATAAGATACCTCTCCTAGGAAGAGGGGAGCCAGTTATTTGTCATTAATTCATTAACAAGTATTTACTGGCAAGTATTTATTGACAAACATCCTTTGCTTTGCTAAACTTCAGGGAAGCACTTGAATCTTCCTCTAGGTCCTTGTACACTGCCTAGGAACATTCAATTTCATCAATGAATGCCTCTAATCAGTTAGTGGAGCAAGAAACGGGCACCCTCAAGATGTGACAGGTTCCTCATCTGCAGGGGAAGGCTGATAGGCCTGGCCTGTCTTCAGCAAGATTCCTGTCTGGTTGGCTTAGCCAGAATCCCTGTGACTCCAGACAGTCACTCCCTCTCTATGCACTGACCCCACCTGCTCCTTGCTTGTGCATCTTCAGAGTTGAACCCAGTCTCTTCCTCACTGCAAGACCTGACTGCCGTAGTCCCTGCACCCACCAAGATGTCCTGAATAAAGACTTTACCACATTTTAACAAAACATTTAAAAATAAATAATTTTTCCTTTAACATCTGCATGTGCGAGGTGTGATAAAAAATACAGTGAATGTTTAAATAAAACTTCATTACAGTAAAAGATGCACTGCCATTAATCCTCCCTCAGAATAGTCTCCCTCACTTCAAACACATTGTTCCTATTACTTTCTGAAGAAGCCATTTTGGAAGCCCTCTTTCGTGAGTGTCTTTTCATGGCGTTCTTGATGTTTTAAACCTAAATTGATTCAGAACATTTACTGCAATTTCTGTCAGATAAAACCACTGCAGTGTGTCCTCATCTCCTTATTCACCAGCCTTCTTTGGCTCTTTCCAAAGTGAAAATGGCCATGAACGGATAGGTGTGCTGGCACACGCCTGTAATCGCGGCTCTTGGAAGACTGAGGCAGGAGGAGCACCATGAATTTGAATCCAGCCTGGACTACAAAGTGAGTTCAGGGCTAGCCTGAACTAGATACAAGGCTCTGTCTCAAAAACAAACAAACACCATGAAAGGTAAATACTTTTAACCCATACAGGTCATCAAGGCAGCCAGGACAGCACAATTAAAAACATGAAAGAGAACTTCTAGAACTACTTCAGAAGGTGGCGAGAACCAAGGGATGGGTAAGTATGTTTGAAGTGACATGGAATATTTCAGAGGGGATCAGTGTCTTTGACTGTAACACACTTTTAAAAAACTTTTAACATTTGTATCTCATATGGTGACCCTTAGTCAAGATTCCATTCTGTACAAATACCAAATTACTCAAATTGCCTGAAGCACCATAGAGATTGCCTCAGAGTGAACCTTTGCTTACAGATTGTTTTGGAAAAACTTAGTTCAACTCTTGTAAATTAAAGTATGTATTTAAAACCACAGGTGGTTTTCCCTTGATCCAACAGGCAGAAGTTTATCTCTAGATGTTGTCCATGAGATGCTCGAGAAAGACCTGGCAGCCAGGTGGGATCTCAGCCCATTATGAGGTCAGTTTCTATCCACAGCCTGGGAAAACCAAATTATCCAGTTTACAAAAAACTCTGGAATGAGCACTTGGGTGTGGACTCAGAATCAGGCATTTTGAGGATCAGAAAAGACTCAGAAAGAAGCCTCTGGGGAACCGTGGGAGAAGGGGACCAGGACAGTCTTTTCCTGGCAACATTAAGGTTATCAGCAAGTAGTTCCCCTCAAGAGGTCAGGTCACACGGATAGTGACCCCCGTCTCACAGTACTCAAAAGTAAACTCAAAAGGGATCAAAGACATGAATGTTAATGCTAAAACTATAAAACACACAGAGTAAAAGCCTAATGACACTGGATTTGGCAATACTTTCTTGGACATAATGCCAAAAGCACAACAGGCATCAAAAGAAAAAACAGGCTAAATGGACATCAAAAATTTACACATCTTTGTGCATCATAGGACATGATCAACAGAGAGTTTAAAAGGCAGCTCATCAAATGGGAGAATATATTTGCAAACCATATATCTTATGAGGCCAATATCCAGAACATATAAAGAACTTCTACAACTCCACACAAAAAAGCTGATTTTAAAAAGACCAAAAACTTGAGAAGTCCTTGAATAGAAGATATATAATCAATAAGGACACAAGATACTCAATATCACTAATCTTTGTAGAGCTACAAGTCAATACTACAGTGAGGTGCCACCTTACGCTCAGAAGAATGGCTACTATTGCTGAGCAGCTGCGCTGGAGGACACAAAGGAGGCCAATGATGCCATCTGAAGGATTTATGTTTTTAGTGGGGCCTCATGTATTTTTAAGTGAACTTTATTCAGTGTTCCAACACAGTGAGCCTCACTGGGGGGCTGGGAATAGGGTGGACCAATCAAGAAGTGGAATCTCAGGGCAGCATGTAAGTGTCCCATTTCTGGGGTCAATCCAGGGTGCTGCTAGGACTTTACCCTCTAGGTCACAAGAGCAGGAGCTGTCACCAGGGCCAGCAGCCAGCACTTACCGGAACATGAAGAAATGCCTTGGCTTCTTCCTTCTTCATAGTATTCCCCTCCAGGGGGAGGCGCTCTATCTTCCCAGTCTGGGCAAAGAGTAAGTGGGTCCCAGGGGGCAGGGGAATCACAGAGGTAGGCAGTGCAGGTCTCTGGTCAATCACGGGGGGGACTGTGCTCAGACCTAGGGGACAGCAGAGGCCAGTGATGGAGGGCTGTGCACAGCAGAAACACAGATACACACACACGTGGTCTCATAAACACATATACATACATACACGTACACATGAACACGAACATGTGCACACATACAAAAACAAAGAGGCACATGTACACAACCACACATGCAACTACATTTTGGGTCATGTCACCTTTATAGCACCACAAACCTAAAAGTCACACATTTTCTACCTGAAAGCCCACAGTCAAAAGAGCATTTGTGAAGAAGGCAGGATATAAGTTTATCTCCTGGGACAGACTTTGCCACTCATGCTTCTTCAGTGGCCACTCTGCAGTCACTGCCCAAGGAAAACCATGTTTTGCAGGTGCCGCTGCTTGTTAGTGCCAGAGGAGCCCATCACATCACTCAGGGCATCCTGCACACCCTGTTCTGGGCTGAGAAATGGGGTGGCGTCAGAGCTGGACTGGAAACATGTCCATTCCAAGACCTCAGGATCAACAGCCTGGCAGGGACTCCAAGCCCTGCCCTCTGACTGAGCCAGCTCCTTCAGTCTCCGGGTAAGAGGAGTCCCAGGAGGGGGTGGACAATCTGTGGCACAGAGCACAAGCTAATCTGCTGTGTTGGGAAGACACATGCAATTCCTGGGCTTCAACTTCTCCTCTCTAAGGTGACAGCTGGATGAGCTGGATAAAGTGACAGCTGCTTCTCTGGTCTTGCCCAATATATGCAGTCAGTGACACACAACACTCTGGTTGTCCTCCTTACAGTCTGGACTTCCCCTGCCCGGCTCCCCTTGCCAAGCTGGGGCTCTAATCTGCACCCACTGTGGTTTCCATCAAGCAGCTGGGTGCTTCTAAATCCGAAACTGGCTTCACACTGGCACTTACTAACCCCCTTCTGGGCCTCCAGTGCTTTTCAATGTGCCATGACCAATACCTGGGCCCCTCAACCTGGCATCTGATGCCCCCTTGTCCCTCACACCTGAAAACTAACCCCTGAAGCTCTTGCACAACCTCAAGGTTCCTGTGGTGTTTTCCAAAGGCCTCCCTGTCAGCCACCACTCTTGCAAGCCAGGGTCTTCTTTCCATGGCTTTCTGATCGCCATCCACTGTCCCTGGAGCTCCTTTCCCCAGACTTTCCCTGTTCCTATCTCTCAGGGTTGTTGAGGGGCCAAATCCATGACATTCCTCTGGTGTCACCAGCACCTATACCAAATGTCATGTGGGTAAGTTAGTGCTGCTCCTTAGCAGCTTTGGGGAAATATCTGGGAGAAGCTCTGTATCTTGTGGTTATTAGCTAAGCTGAGAAGAGAGACTCAAATCAAAAGTTAGCTGTATCAAGTTAGTTGTGGCAATGACTGCTGTCTAGAGCCCGGGCATCATGAGGGCCAAGCCTGGGCGTCAGCTCTGCAGTGGGGCCACAGATGACTGCTGTGACAGAAGCAGAATTTTAGAAGCAGGCAACATCCTCAGGATTGTCCTGCTCGTCTGTCCTGCAGAGGCCAAGGAAGCTGAGGCAGCAGAGAGAATCTGCATGGAGTCCCACAGCCTCGGAGCTGTCCTACACCAGCATAGCCTTGAACTGGCTGCAGAAACCTTGGGTTGTTTGCTCCTTGAGGTCACAAGCTGCCCTGGCATCTTAAGTCCTTGGGCACATCAGTAAAGGCATGAGATGCTGAAAGATGTTAATGGATGCCTAAATAAACACAGCGCTGGAGAGGCACCAGAGGTCCCCCAGTTGCCCTGTCCCCACAACCCAAGGTCAGGCCTCCCACACACATCCTCTCTGCCCATCTCATATCAGTGCCTGGGCTCCACTGGGCAGCTACACAGTACCTGTGCGTGCATGAGAGTATGGGCATGGAGGGGACAGGGAAGTGAGCAGAGAGACCCCTGCACCTGTGGTTCTGGGCCCCTGGCTCTCCTACCCGCTGTCTACTTACATGGAGGCTGCAGCCCAGCCCTGGTCCTGGTGCCCTCCAGCTCACGGCCATCACGGTCCACACACCAGCAGTAGCCAGTGCTGCCATGGCACTGGGTGGGTGCATAGTGCCCATGCTCGTCACACTCAGGGACAAAGAGTCCTGGTGGCCTGGGCCGCTGAGTGTCTGCTGCCCCCACTGCGCCAAGAATGTGTTCACGCTCCTGCTGGCACCGGGTCTTCTCCACCTCTGTCAGAGACAAGGAAATAGAGCCACCAGCCAGGTCGGATGTCCTTGTGCACCACTGGGGTGTGACTCACAAAGCACCTGTCTCTGGATTTAGTGTTACTAACTTTTAAAAATTTAAAACATCAGTTATGATTTAATGGACTTAACTGTTAAGATTACATTACCTTTACTAAAGTTTTTAAACAATTGTAAAAATCAAGGCAAAACAACATAAAAAGAATCATTTCAAAGTGTGATATTCAATAGTACATTCACAGTACCACGAATCTAGTTCTGAAACATTTCCATCACCCCAAAAGGAAACCTGGTCCTCAGTAAGTAGTCACTTCCAGTTCTGGGGGTTATATTTTGTTTTTTGATGCAGTAGTGGGGACCATTGCACTAAGGTACATCTGCAATCTTTTCTATCTTTTTCAGACAGGGTCTTACTAAGTTGTTAAATTAATTAGGCTCTAATTGGAAATCCTCCAGCCTCAGTCTGCCAGAGTCAGGATTACAGGTGTGCACCTCAACCACCTGTCTTATGGGGAATTTTACATCTTCCTTACACGTGTCTTTTCACTCTCATGCTCCTTGCTGACTGACACTGAGTCAAGACCAAAGAGCCTAGAGATAAAAGATGAGAGTGCTCACCAACTCTTGTGTTTTCCTTTAATTATCTGGCATGAAACTGGGCTTCTCAACCATGCAGCCCAAGTCCCAGAGCAAGTACTACACGTGCTCCCACATAAGCTATGGCCTGGAATAAGTGGCTCCCGAACACCCAGATTTGCAACTGCTTCCACAGTCACTAGAGCCCGGGCATCATGAGGGCCAAGCCTGGGCGTCAGCTCTGCAGTGGGGCCACACAGAGGGAGGCCAAGACACTGGGGGAAGTCCGTTTCCCTCTCCCCTGACCGCCAAGAGCTACAATTATGTCTTGTGGTCTGTCCCTTTCAGGTTGCTCCACATGCTACTGGTGCCCCTCCTCTCTCCCTCACCAGTCCTTCCGGAATCAGGCTGCACTCCAGACTCTGAAGAGCTGTTCCCCTAAGAGCACAGGGGGGCAGTCACTAACTCCTCACCGGGCACACAGCCTAGAGGAGGGAGCAGGCATTCCCATCAGCACAGAGGGGCCAGGGCACATCAGCCACAAAGGAGGACCTTGTTCTCCACAGGACAGGGTCACAGGAGGCCTGCCTGCCTGTTTCTTTTTTATTTTCCACTCCTGTGATGTTGAGAATCAAACCCGGGGTACGGACGGTGCTGGCAAGTACTCTGCCACGCATCCACACCTCCTGCCCTGCAGGCTTGTTTTCATGACTGGAGGACCAGGGATAAGGAGCACTAACAGTAGGGCTCAGCCAGTTTTGCAAAGTAAATACTCTCAGCTTTGTGGCCATACATACACTGTCCATGACAATTATCCAACCGTATGGCTGTGGTGCAAAAGCAATCATGGGCCCCTCATGTCCCTGCTCTAGGGACTAAATCCAGGGATTCTCTGCCACTGAGCCACATGCCCAGCCCTTTATATTCATTTTGAGACAGGATCTTGCTAAATTGCCCAGGCTATACTCAAACTTGCAATCTTCCTGCCTCAGCCTCCTGAATAGCTGGAATTACATTTGTCTGCCACTATTCCCAGCTGCAGCCACATTTAGTACACAAATGTACCAACTGCATACAAGGAATATAAACATCATGTACTGCAAACTTGTACAGAAAAAGGGGGGGGGGGGTCATGGGATGGGGAGGGGGAAGAGAGAAGGAAAGGGGGCTAAAAAGGAGCTACGATTCAGATGTGTTATGCACATGAACCACTTTGCATGAGATAAACACTATTCCTACACCCATGTACTAATACAATAAAATGGAAAATGCACAAAAATACATAAATGAATGTGACTGTGTTCCATGGAAATGAAAGGAAGAGAGAGACATTGTATATAATAACACATGCCTGCTGTAATCCCAGCACTCTGGGAGACTGAGGGAGGAGGATCTTAGTGATGTAGCAAGACCATGTGTCAAAATACAAAATAAAAAAGAACTGGGAAAGCACCTCAGGACAAAAGTCTTGATTCTACCCAGAAAGGAAGAAAAAAAAAAAAAAAAAAAAAAAAACGAAACCCACAACAATGGGCTGAGTTTGGCCGATTTGGATGGCAGTGGCTGACTCAGGCTCTAGCACATTACTAAGGGAGGAAAACATGTGTGCATGAGTATGTACTAGTAAGACACACTGTGAAAGCCCTGACAGATTGCGTAGTTGCAGACCTTTGTGTCTGGGGGTTTGCGTCACAGTGGCGTCGGGTCTGTGGTGCTGTGGGCATGTCCACAGTGCTGCCCAGCTTCCACCTCCCCCAGCTGCAGAACGGCTGGCAGCAGCAACCTACCTCTCAGGATAACTTTGAGGAGTGAGAGTCAAGTGACAAGTGTCTGAACGTGTTCCCCAGTGTTCACTTGTTGGGGGCCCCACTGCAAGTGAGAGGCGAGACCTTTAAGCGGTGAATTGCTCATGAGGGCTCTGGGGGAATGCCCCATTTGTGTTTCCTGGGGACTAGCTTCCCTCTCTCTCCCCCAGATGATGCCAGGTCATAGGGCAGCCCTCAAGAGTCCCTCTTAGATTTCGCAGCCCCCAGAACTGTGGCCAAACAAACTTGTTTCTTATAAATTACCTAGCGCGTGGTATTCTGTTGCAGCAGCAGAAAATGGGCCGGGACAACACACACAGATGCATGTTAAGCTCTGCGCTCAAATGTTCACGTGTGGTAGATCCAATGACACGCGCTGCGCTGCCAGCAAATGCTCAAAGCACCCTTTGTCCCTGTGCCAATCCTCGTGTTGGCCTGCCCACCAGCTTAACAAGATTGCACCCCTGGGGAGAGGCAGTTCTTGTGCCAGAAAAGTGTTTGTTGCATCTGGCAAGAAAAAACTGTATTTTTCTTCTGTCCCCAGACTAATGTAAACAACAAAACAGTTGATGTAGGAAAAGCCAAACACGGATATGAATAAGCCAGCTAGGTGGAATACAAATGTTGGGTTTTGTACACTCCTAAATAAAAAATTTGTCTGCTTCCTCAAACCGTTCCATTTGTGCTGGCTTTCAGAGATTCCACATTAAGGGGCCACAGTGGCACAGTGCTGGTAAAGTGTGAGGTCATGAGTTCAAGGTCGTGGAAGCTGAGGTAAGAAAGTTCCAAGTCTCAATCCATTCTTGGCACCCGAGTGACTTATTGAGACCCTTTTGCAAAAAGAAAAGAATTTAAAAAGTTGGGGATGTAGCTCAGTGCAAAGGCCCTGGGGTTCAATGCCCATTAGCACAAAAAACAAAACAAAAAACCCTCAGTGATCTTAAACTGACAGTGAAACTTTTAAGTGCTGTATCTTGAGTTTATGGGAAGGAAAGGAAACTTCAGTTCTGACTCAGGAAACTGAATTTCAAGTTGTTTACAGAAAGCTGTGACCTCAGTGGGGCTCCTGGGATGTTGTCAGCTGGGCCAGCAGGCAGTGGAGGCTCCTACTGAGGCTCCAGGGCCCAGGGATTGTCCAGCAAGGGCCCACTGGATGGGTGGACAGTGGGGTCATGGAGACTGTCTCCTGGGCTTGTGCCTGGTTGGGAAAGTGCTGACCGAGGCAGATCACTTCTGGCTAGAGGCTCCCGGAGGAAGCTCCCAGGCTGATATTCATCAGAGAAGGGGCAAGCGGTCAGGTGACTTTTCTCAAGGAGGGGACAAAGAGAGCCAGAGGGAAATGAAGTGGAGAGAAATAACACCGGGGGAGGACCTGGGGAGGGAGCACGGATAGGGGGCATGAATTAGGAAAGTTGCTCATTCAGCTCCACCAGGGACTTTGGGTGGCACTTAGGTGACACATCTGCAGTGTGCCCAGTGCACAGCAGCCTGGGGACAGTTTCACTGGCGTGATGTTCACAGATCTTTTTTTTTTTATAGGTACGGCGAATTGAACTTAGGACTTTGCGCTTGCCAGGCAGGCACTTAAGCCCCTGAGCTGTATCTCCAGCCCCTGATCTGGGTACAGTAGCTGCCCGATGGAAGGCCAGGGAGGACAGCAAGCCCAGAAATCCTGGGTAAGGGTGGACCTCTTTGCACTGTTCCGAGGAGCAGGTTAGAAGGGACTGCAAGGAAAAGAGGGGAAGGAGGAGGCTCAAGGCTCAGTGGTACTGATTTGGAAATAAGGCCACCAAGAGCTCAGGGACACAGAGGTGACAGTCCAGGGTCACAGGCATCGAGTCTGGGACATTGTCAAATTTATGGGCCTGGCTGGGGCTCCCACAGCCCGACCGCATCACCTGCTCCGTGCTGTCCTGCCCCATCTCCTTGGCAGTCCCACCTGCCCTTGAAGGCTTGGTGCAAAGCTTTCCCTGCCAGCTCCTGGGGTCTCTGCCCCGAGCCCTAAGAATCACTCACACATTTACTGGTTCCTGCCAGTTACAGTGCAGGCTCCTCTTGGTACAGGGGGGGATGCTTAAGAAGTATTTAAGCATGTTACTACTTCTGCTACTAGTTATACCACTAGTTATTCTAGTTAGCTGGATACTTTGGAAAACTAGCTAGACCCTCATATCCTACCCACTCAAAGGGGCTAACTGTACCAGCAGTGATACATCCCAGCTGGTGAGAGTGAAATGCAGAGCTGTGGTTTCCTGGACAATGAATGCATAAAGTATTTCAAGAAGGAAGCAGAGACAACAGAGAGGTTTGTCATTGACTTTTACATGAGCAGTTTGCAAGAGAGGCAGGTTTAGGGGCAAAGACCTGGGCAGTCTGAGGAGAGGCTCTAAGAAGGTAGTGACCTAGTTTTAAAATCTAATCACCAGCAGGTTAAGTAAATAATAAAACCTAAAGCCTACACATGCCTGTAATACCTGTATTCTGGGGGAGGTTAAGGGAGGAGAAGCACAAGTTTAAGCCCAGCCTGAGCAGCATAAAGACAGCCTATCTCTAAATAAAAAATGATTGGGCGTGTAGCACAGTGCAAATGGCCCTGGGTTCAAT